CATTGTGTGTTCTAGGCATTTTGCTTTTACTTTCTAAGCAATGGCATATACTGCTATTCATAAAATAATGGAAAAAACATTAAATGTACTTTAAGTACAGTACAGAAGAATCTTTTTTTTTTTTCAACTATTTAGATGTTTACCAGTAAAATTATATTAAAACTTTCCAAGATAATAAATTACAAATTTATTGTTCTGCAAAGAACACCACACCACCATATGAACCCTCAGGAGCGTGAACATATTGAATTGTCTTGAATGCTTACAGATTTACCCAGAAAAGACTATTGGGAAGTTCACATTTTTTTTCCATAAGGCTTTTAGTTAACTTTTCTTGCAAAAATATTTGCTCTTTCTATATCTCAGTATATCTCAGTTGTGGCTTGGCTGAATCAAACACTGTAGCCTCAGTTTTCTTGAAATACTTTCCCATTGGTAAGATCATTTTGCCTTAGTGCTTTTGCTCACGTCCAAGAGGAAGCAGAGTTTATGTTAGTGCTTTTAATAAATTAAAGGCTGCTTTCCCCCCACTCCCCCACCCCCTAATTATTTGCAGCCTTATGAAGACTTGAGACTAACGTATCTGCTGTGTGGATTATGGCAATGATGAACTCAGGCTCTTTTTCCCTTGAGAATAAGGGTAAACTACAGTAGATTATACACAGTATTTTGAATTTAAGCCTTCAGGAAATGACAAAGGTGATTCTTTTGCTTTGAGTGCTTAATTTCAAGCTATGACATGGAACTGAATTTTCGAGGCTCACCCTGCAGCTGCCAGCTTTCATTGTACTTTAAATTAATTTTATTTAAAACAAAAATGGTGGTGCATTAATTCTCTTTATCTTCTTTTACTACTTCTCTCATGCCCTGAATTTCACCTCATTTATGTAACTGAGTATTTAGCTTTGTAAAATGCCAAGAAATACCATGCAGAGAGTTCTGTGCAAGCTAGCATTATAGCTATGGTAGCTACTGCTATAGCTACTTTGCATTGCCTGCTAATTATAAATACAATATATCATCCTTCTATTTTATCCAAAATTGTACAAATCTCACCATCCTATATGCCCAAATATTTTAGATTTTAGTTTTTTCAAAGAGTAAAAATAAGTGGAATGAAGATGACAATGGAGAGCACTGTCCTTTTTTTTTTTTTTTTCCCACTGAAGTTTATAGTTGCACCCCAGGAGTTTTATTGCAGTTTTGAATTCTAGGGAAAAAGGTTCTGCTTCAGCCAAACTACCTGTTATAATTTCTCCTTATCTAGAGTACAACCACTTCTTTACTCAAATAAGTGTTCTAGAAACAAAACAATCTAGTGGAAGAATTTCACCAAGCGTTCCTCTCAACACTACAACTACAAGATATATTAAATTCTCCTTGCAGGAAAGTTGCCACTGTAAAAAACAGCATACAATGAATAAAAACCAGAAAAAAAATACTGGAGACATGCCAGACTACATCTAGCCTGCTGAAAATATGAGTTACTCATCTATAATGACTTTTCAATGTGTTGTAAAGGGATCATGAGTTTACTGTGCAAATGAACACTGTCTTTAATCAAAAGACTACTCCTTTCAAGAAGGAGAGCTTATTCTCCCTGATTTAAAATGCAAGCCCCAAAACTAAGAATCCTCTTCTGAATTGGAAAAATAAAATAAAATAAAATTTCTCTTATAAAACCATTAAGCACCTGGATAACACATGTATAAAACCTGAGGATGTTGCCAGTCTCAACCAAAAGGAAAACCTTTTGGACTTCTAATATCTTGAAGACTCTTGAGGCAGTGCTCTAGAAAAACTTTTACTATTTCCTTGATGATGTAATAGATCTCATTTATCCCTTCAGAATTATAAGGCTTCAAAGAATAATATCTTCAATATACTTAAAAATCCCATGTTTCTAAGTAAAGACCTCAATTCACTGGAATAGTCAAAGCTTTCATGAAAACAAATGCAATATTCATGCTACTTCAATCCTCCAATTTCTTTAAAAAAAAGAAGAGGGTATGTCAAGCTTGCTTCATCAAGCCAAAACATTAACTCAGGTTGTCTTAGTTCCTGCTTTCACTGTAAATTTATTTTTAATCTGCTGTTTCATATTTGGTAACAAAATATTTGATATTAATAATGAGTTATTTATTAAACTCTCCCAAAGTTCCTAGATTTTTCTCTGGCAATGTTAAATTAATAAAATAAATATTATATGGAAGTAGCATCTCCTTATCTTCAGACTGAACATCTGACAGAGGACAAAATTTTTTAGGACAAAGTTTTGTAAAGTATGAATATCTAATAAGTAGAAGCATTTTGCATAAATTTTCCAGATTTGCATCCACTATGGCTCTCTACCCTGGCCACTCTGCAACAACAACAAGAAGCCTAAAAAAAAAAATACCTGTATCACCCCTGCATAGTAAACATTCATATTTTCTTCTTTTAAACAAATTATTTAGAAGATGAAGGGAAATCTCACCACCTGATTGAGCAGAACTGTGATCTTCAGTTTTATTGTTCTTATGCTAAAATCCTTGACTGAAGAAATGTTAACTAGCATACTTTATGTTTTTTTCCAATTGCCTTCTCATAAATAACCAAGTTGTACAAGGTTCTTCTAGTGCATGTGTTTAAAAACTGGTGAAAAATATACTTTTATTTTATAAAGAAAATTAGTGGATAGTAAATTCCTCCTTTAAAACACAGAGTCAAAACTCCTAAACATATTTTCTGGTCTAAAAGGCAAAGGAGAAGCTAACAAATTACCATTACAACACAAATTATTTTCCCTCATTTTTACCATTTAAATGGTAAAATGGTACACATACACACTGGTGCTGCAGTTTTTAAAATATGTCTTTCCTATCTAGTTTACCAACTCTTGCACCATGCATATGACAAGAGTCTTTTTCCCTGATGGTTCCTCTAGTTTTACTTTTCAGTGTTTTACATTGATGTTCATCTTCTCTGTTCTTAATTTACAGTCATTTGGTAGAAATTCTTTTAAGACCAGGGTTGTAGGTTCTTGGTCAAGATTCTCAATGTCTACTGACACTGTACCCCAGCTTCTACTACCAAATTCACAATTCTCTGGAGGTCTTGTTTGGCTGTCAAATTTAGGGTCTCAAGTTCCTCTGTTTTGCTCTTACTCAACTCTGACACAGACCAAAATATATTAAAGCCACATAGATTATAAAGTGGGTTTGTATCTCAAAGAAAATGGTAAAATTTTGAACGTCTTCAAATGTTTCCATTACTTATTCCTAGAGTTAGTTATGGGTGCCATGACCAGAAGCCATTCTGCCTCACCTATTTGCAGAAGACTAAACTGACCCTTTCTGACTGTTCTCTTTCACTTTTGCAGACTTACAGTATCAGTGAAGGAAAATTCCTTCTCTTTAATACTATGCTTAATTCCTTTATTTTAATTCAAATCAGTAAAGCAAATATCTTCAATATATAGTAGAAAAAAATAAATTTTAATCTAGGTTTCTATGACAATTACTCATGTGATACAAGACAAAAAAAGGAAAAGACAGAGAAGGAAATATAAAAATATATTTTCTTTCTCACACAGATTATTTGTTCTGCTGATAAATTGAAGAAGCTAAACCAAGAGAAGAGAGATTTTGTTGAAAACAACCCAGGCTTCTCTTTCCTAATATTCTTTTCCAAAATAATGTGTTAGTCAGCAATAAAGTTCTCTTTCTTGAAATAACAGTAGTGCTCTTAAAGCTCTTTTTATATGTCTGATACCAAAAGATTATTTTGCATGTTCACTTACATTCAACTACACTCATTTGTTTCAGTACTTGGTACTAAACATAATAATAGTATTAGATGACAATTTTGAAACAGGAAACAAAGAATTATACAGCACAGCATAAAGAATTTAATGAGACAAGTGTTACTGGACCACAATTTTAAATTTCATTGTCTAAAACTTTAGACTGTATGTTTTACTTCTGGCCGCTACAGAGCTGACTTGACATATTATGTGGTGTAAGCAATAATTGCAAGAAAGTAAAGAGTGCAGCTATAGCTCTTGAAAGTAAAATCTTTCAGTAAAAAATGATAAATAAGGAACACTTCTGAGTGGAAGGCTCTACTCAGAAAAACTGATGTCCACACATAAGCTGTCTTTAGTCCCAAGTGCTTTTCATTGATAGACCTAAGTCACATCTGACACCATATATAGGCTATCAGCTGGCATGTTAGCTCTGCAGGACTTCTTTTGTGGTCAGACAAGAGAATTTTAGTAGTTCTTATGTTTATAATGGCCTAAAGGAAGCAGGCAAGTTCTTAGTGGAGGTAACAAGTGAAAATTTCTGCAAGAAACATTCTTGAATTGAAAGTACATTAAGTATTTGAAAAATGAACTTAATGGAGAAGTCATCATATATTATAACTGAATAAGATAAATTATTCCTGTTACTATTAAAGTTCTCAGAGCTAAAAAAGATGGAATTAAGTAAGGCCACATGACTACATCAAGAGCAAGATATTTACAGAATTAATCACAACACTCTCCTATACCTCAGTGCTACTCACTGTCACAAGTATACCACTAGATATTACAACACTATCAGCTACTTGATCAACTAGCAGTTTGAGCTGAAAAACCTGTCCCTTTAAAAAGGCCTTATAAAGAATAAAAGGTCACCTAAACTGTCTACAACATAAATGCCAGTATCTGAGCTAGTCATCTTGGGCTCCCTTTGAAGTCAGTGAACAAAAGCAAGCACTTACAGGACATGATTTCTCTTATTTCGATATACGTACCTGAAAAGGTCACAGGAATTTTGTTCTGAATATGCCAACTTCTCTCCATACACACAATCTAGATGAAGATAAACTAACAAGATCTCTGTGCATTGCAAGTATCAATTAAGTGCAGTGATAAATGACACGTCATAAAAAAATCCACCACAACATTAGGAAGTCACTCAAAATAAAAAAATAAAATACACAAAGAATGACCACGGAAGGGTAAATATACTAACTTGACTACGGTCTCTTTGCTCTTGCATGGCTTCCCAAACAGCCTGGGCAATCTCCTCTTTATGTCTCTCGCGTTCTGCTTCCCACATTTTTCTTTCGTCTGCATGAATCTTCTCCATATGTCTCCTCTCCTCCTCTACTGCTTTCAGAACAGCCTCCTGCACTACTTCTTTTTCAGCCTTTGAAACAAAACAAGCACAAATAAATAACCAAAATACTTAGCATGGGTGCCTAACTCATACATATTACTTCTAATGAGGTCTAAGAGCTGACAAGATATGACACATGAATATTTTCACTTCTGAACTATGAGCTTAAATTTACCTGAAGGTGCTACCAAGCAGGCATTACCACTAGACAATGACTTTGTAGTTATAGAAAGAAAAAGAAAGTTACAAGCAATGATCTTTAAGTCCCACCTAAAACACCCTGCCGAAAACACAGTATATAATAACTAGTTTGCTTGATGCCAACACAAAAAACATGCAGTAGAAACCACGTAAGAGTAAGTACATCATGGGCCTCCAAGAACTGCTTGATATTGCCATATACAAGATATTCCTGCTCTTATCTACAGGTATCTAAAGTCCAAAAACAGTCTGAGTGTTTTCTGTGGCAAAGTAGCCAATACTTACTAAAAACAAATGCCCCTTCCCTTCCAAAGCTCCTTAGCTATGCATTCTACAAGAAATACTGTTTCAACTTTTTTTTTTTTTTTTTCAATTTTTATATTCACCCATTGCATTAAATCATCAGAAGACACACACTGAATTTGAAGTAATAAGGACAGCTCTACACATGCTGAGCCACACAAATATATTTATCGGCAAGACAATCATTGCATAATATCTACAAATAAATAATAGCACATTGAAGTCCAAAATAAACAAACATGGGTTGGCAAACCACATCCACACACTCCTCAATTTTAATAAGCTTACAAGGCATTCCAGTGTCCTTTGGTGGTGATTATGGAACTGGTTAAGTGAGGTTATAAATGGCAAAAAATACTGGGTTCCTCAAATACCTACACTTGTAAATAAAGTTGTTTCTTGCAGTTCACTGGGACTTGATTTTTTTTTTCAGTTAGACATTTATAAAATAGAATTTAAATGGAAGTTAAAAAAATGCCCTATTAAATTAAGATATTTTATTACATACACATTTCCCCTTAGACATCAACCACGCAGCAGATGTTTCTTGTGTTATCCAATGATATTCAGAGAGATGCTCAGCTTGTATGCATATACTACACATGAAGATGTACAGGAAACAATAATATTGCCTAACCAATTGTGCTAGGTAACATACATCACTAGTTTACCCAGATCAATACATGCAACTGCAATTTTGAACTGGATTCTACATCAGTATTAGAAATTAAAAAGAGCTTAACAGTTACAAAATTACTGTCCTAACCCCAACGCGCTTAATAACGAAAGAGACTGAAGAAATAATATTTTTTAAAGTGAAAACTCACTTCTACTCAAACATCAACTTTAATAAAATAATTGAAAAACTGTTAAAACGTGCAAGTTTTTATATGATTTACAAAATATTTCTGTCTTCATTGAAAACAACCATATTTAACAGAAGTTAAATAAGACACAACGTTAATTGTTTTATTAAGATCTTTAGTTGGCCCTGCTGCCTGACACTTCAAATCAAGATGTATTCATGTTGTTAACTGAAAGACCACAAACCCAGATATTTGGGTAACACCTACAAATGAACTGCAATATTGTGACTTCTTGTTATAAACTAATTCAGAGGCTATCTTAGATAGAAGTAAGTTACATAGACTATCTGTATTAAGGCATAGAATATAGCAGATATGTTCAAGATTTATAGAACTAGCTTCTTTTAAATACAGAGGAGAACATAAGAGTTTGACCAATTTAGTTATGAAATGAGTTGCTGAACTTGGCATTTGTAATGACACACATGGAATCCACATTCCATGTCTACTACTTAACAAGAGATACCTTTGCAGCAGCTGCCACAGCCTCCTTACTTCTTTGTCTTTCTTCATCCAGACATTTGTCCAGCACTTCCTGTAAATGTTACAAAAAATTACAAACTGCAATACACAATAGAGGAGCCGCTAAAAATAATTTCAAACAGTTAAAGTGCTTGAGAACACTTCCTCTTTCTATCAATGACTGTGACAGGATCATTCCCAATGAACTCCGTGGTAAAGACCAGACCCTTCCCTCCCCATTTTTTTAATAATAAAAGCAATACCTTGTGTTTTTTCGACTGCTGCATCAAGGCTTCTTCTATCTTTTCTGATAACACCTCCTTCTCTGCTTCCAAAATGTCAAGAAGTCGCTGATGCTATTGGGAAAAAAACATCCATATTATTGTAACCATAGTCTGCTAGTAAAACAGACAAAAATAACTAATCCAAGATACTTAGGTTTGTCAGTTGGTTACAAAATTACTTAAAAGGTAGATTCAGTTAAATGACATATACAGCACTCATTTAATTGATTTAATGACATGAAAAAAAATTACAATAAGAAATGCACAGCTTCCTGATTATCTAACATTTCCTTTCAGTCTGAAGAGTATTAGGAAAGTAGTTAAAAAAAAAAATCACTATATAAAAACAACTCTTACAACATTTAAAAAGATGTCCTAAGTAACACCACACTTCAAAAATTTCATTTAAACTGCTGCAGAATTTAAATTATACTTGTACTACCTCTCAGTTATACATATAGAGGGCAGAAGTCAAATGTATGTTTTTCAACCATTTGTGACACCATGAACTTTGAAAGCCAGGAAATGACAGCAAAAAAGTTTCTTTTTTCTAAGTTTCTTGTAATCAAAAATATTTTTTCAGGGAGAAAATGAACACTAAAACAAACTGACCAAGTAGTCTATATATAGACGTATAATCTGTCACTGTTCTTGATCACAACCCATTTATCTGTTTTTCACAAAAAAAGTAAAGCATTTGAAAGATGTAAGAGCCAAACTGTTTTCCCAGACTAAAAATTATTACTAGACACTATTGATGTTAGGTATTTGTCATGAGATAGTTGCTAGCAAATCAGTACATTTTTTCACATGTTATTGAAGAGATTATGTATTATATATTATCAATGCATAATAATATTTTACAAGATCACCCAAAGTGTAACCGTAGAGTCTTATATAAATCAAAGTGTATATAAAGAACATACATTTTTTACACAAACACTTATGCAGGCAAATACTCCTTTTACCAGCATTTACTGGTACTAAGAACATAATTTCTGTTTCATTAATTTTATTATGTTTTAATTAGAAGTGTCTCTAATGGCAGCTAGAAATAGATTACTAAATTGCAATACTATGTTCTGAAAAATATTTTTTCATTTGAAGAATAAAATAGAAAACTTCTAGACTGCTTTATAAAATAAAACACCTATCTGCCCTTCCAGGATAAACATGTAAAGAGGCATTTCCTTGTGAATTTACTTAAAATAGGTCTGAATGGAGCAGACATATTCTAATGGAAAACACCTGTAGAAGGAGTGGCAAAATTCACATCATGGTTTGTCCTGGTTTTTAGCTGGAACAATTTATTTTTCATAAGTAGACCTACAGTCCTGAAAAATATGGGTATCAGGACCAAAACTTTATCATACAGAAACCTGAAAAGTTCTGATCTTTAATACAACTACAAAGTGAAAATGTATCTCCTTCACTGCAAAGGAGAGTGTGCAACTAAATCCAGAGATCAACTCTTTGTACAAAACGAGAAAATTTTACTCCAGCTAGTTGTTACAGTAATAAGTTTAACAACACCTGGACGCACCTGTCAAATTAAATCAGTTCCATGGAGATATCACATACCAAACAAATGGAAATATAGACAGTAATAGAAAATAAATTACTTTGCTTCTTGTGGAAGCATAAAGGGAAACCTTTAAAATACAATATACTGCTTTTGCTTGACACTAACTGCAAAAAACATTGCCTAATGAGTAAAAAATTACCATTAAAATTAAGGCTGCTGTGGCTGCCATTTGCAGTATGATCACTTAAATTGAGCTTAGGATCTCCTATTTCCTTGGTAGATTAGAAAACGATCTGTTTTCTAATAAAACTCAAAGTGTAACAAAGATGTTACACTTTGAGTTTTATGGAATTCACAGAAATTAAAAAAGAACTGTATTAACAATTGTATCGTGTAGAAAAACACACTAGTTCCTATTTTTCAAAATGCTAGAGGTAACTATTTGTAAGTACACTTAGAGTGATTTCAAAATAAGAACTAATGAGTTCTGGCATATTTCAATGCCATTTCTTTTATATTATATAGCATCCTCATTTCTCCTAGAAACATAAAATTTAGAAATTCAAGATTGTAAGCCTCTTGTGAACAGCTTGGCATGTCCTTTCCTATTCTAATATAAATGTTTATTCATGTGGAATAATTCTTCCATAAATGGTTACCTTCATATCTGAACCTCCAAAAGTTCATATATCAGCACAAATGTTGCAACAGCTGTCCATACAACGCAGTAAAGCAGATTCTCTTCTACTAGTCCCAGAGAAATACCTTGAAGAACTGTTTATTTGACTTCAGAATTTATATTTGGTCAAATAGTTTTCTTTTTCAGAGAGAAACATACCTTCAGCTATTATATTACATAAATTATATGAAAAGAAATAAGTAACTGGAAATAGACAAAGCAGAATAAAATAACGTGAACTGCTTCTCCCTGAAACAGGTCTTGAGTTCAGAAAGTCTATATTACATAGTTAGCATAGATACAAGAAAAATGATGGAAGCTTCCATTATGCATGTAATTAATAAGGAATTGAATTATTTATCAAGAACTTTTATTTTTTCACAGGTGCCCCACAGTAGTATTAGCCCTCATATGGAGTCATGGAATCCCCCTGAAAGCTGACCTTATTAAAATGATGTAAAGCAGCTCAGTGCTATTATGAATCCATTTTATAGAAAAGAATGCAATACGTTGTCATCCAAATTCCTTTTAACTGAAGCACAGATCTTTCAAAGACATACTTGACTATCCAGGTTATGCATTACAGTTGAGCAGAAAATGTGGGAAGTTATGGACAGTAAAGATTTCTGTCCATTTCCTCTTCTGACAGTGATCAAGGCTATTTTAGCTATTGCTATTTGATGACAGCATTCTGACAGACTTCAAAAAAAAGCAGTAATGCAAAGGAAATTATTAATGAATGTATGAGTAGAATGCTAAGCTGGTACTTCAAATGTGTCTGCACAGCAAGCTATTGTAACCCTTCTGGAACTAGTCTTTAAATTACAGCAACTCACTTCATATTTCAGATTTTAAAATAGTTACTATATAGAAGCATTAGGTATATTAATTTTCTGGACATATACAGAATGACTTTGGACTCTGGTACTAAATGGACACAATGAAATTCATATGCAGTCAATGCTACCTCAGTTGATTTTCTAGATGAAGTTATCAAAGGGAGTTGAAGGTTAAAAACATATAAAAGGTGACAATTTCACCTCAGCACTTATGCATTTGAGAGCTTTCAAGTGTTCTTGCATTTTTAGCTAACAGGAAATAACAGGATGTTTTAGGTTCATTTACTCAGCTTGTAGATTTTTGTTCAACTATAGTAAAGGTCTCTTAACAATGCAGACCATTGCTGAATTAAAGATCATATATGCTGAGATAAATGCCTACAAGTGAGTAAACTTATCTCATAATCCCCTCCCCTTCTGAACAGACATAAAAGCTATAGAAAAGATGTGAGTTGGATGAATCTCATTCAGAATTTCCAATTTCCACAGCTAAGAATTATTAACATTTCCCTCTCTGTTAAGGGAGGTATTAAAGGACAGTATTAAAGGAATAAAGGCAGAGGGTTGGGACTTAAGGCACCACTCTGAACTATCTATACACTGGATTTTGATTCACAAGAATTGTGGAGGCCACTTTCTCTTAGGCTTATCTGGACACTAGAGTTGGAGGTCTCCTGGTAATTGTACCCGACAAGAGGATATCGCCCATGCTTCAACAAGGAAACATAATAAAACCCTTCCAGAAAGAGAAGCAGTAGCCTCCTGTAAGTAGGCTAACGAGTTCATCAGACCTAACAGTCCTATGAAAAATAATCAAGTCTATTCTAGTTTTCCGGTTTAAGTTATGATGGAGACCTACTTACGGAGTCTTACATTTGGAAAAAAGCACCTAACCTGTGTAGACTATAAGATGACGTCCGTGAAGTTTCTAAATTGAAGTTGAAAGAAGGTTTTTCTTTTGTTAATCAATGATCCAAGAACCAGAAAATAGGTAAGAAAATTATAAATTATTGGGGCTTTGGATCCAATGATCTAGCTGTTATTAAACAAATATACTTTACTGAGTCTCTGGACTAAAATGCAAAAATGGAAAGTGATGAAAAGTTATGGCTACAGATAATCTTAATAAAATAAAGTAAAATAAAAAATGTCCTGAACTGGAAATATGGTGGATGAATCAGTGTGAGGTCAAAATAAATCTCAGTGAAAACTCCACTTTAGTACAACATGAAAGTTTTCAGCCAGTGTAAGTTTGCTAGGCTGCACATTCACATTGTGCATGTTATCTATAAGGCACAGTAAACAATAAAACACTATGAAGAGATACTCAGACAGATCTAAAAACCTTTAGCTCAGGTACAGTAGTATAGCTCTTTAATGCCTCACCTTACCTAAACCAATTTCCATACCCCAGCATTCTTACCTAGCCTTTATCTCTGACAATGCTATGATTCCTTTTATTCCTTATACAGTGAGTATAGGGTTAATATTGCAAAATTCTGATGTGTAAAAATTCTGAGGAGCAAATTGTAGTTGGACATGATGGCCCAATGAGACACAGGAAAGTGCTTTCCAATAAAAGAAAAACAGCAAACTTTTTAGAAAAGTGGTATTCCAAAGTGGAGAGAAACACTAATATTTCTACTCTACTCTCTGGAAAGCAGCAAAAGGAAGTCAAGAAGAGTCTTCTAAAAATCAACTTAAAACAAAAGGCATTCAAAAATAGGTTATAATGTTTTCCTCCCTGCAAGAAGTTTTCTAGGCAATGGTTCCAAATGAAAACTGTTTGATGTAGATTCAAATATAAATACAGAGGTCCTGTGGTTTTTCTTGATTCCTGTAAAAAAGAAATCAAAAAATCTTTCTTTTTTTCCTGGAATGTGAGTCACAGAAGACATTGTAAACAGATTTAATCACAATAGCAACTAGTCTGTCTCTTTTGTTATTATTATATATTAAATTTATTTCTGAGGAATCATTATATTTTTCTTTCAGTTAAGCATCTTTTGAAGGATTACATAGTATATGT